ATTCACGAGGAGGAGAAGAGAAGGAGAGAGAGGCGGCTGAGATTTTTTGAACAGGAGAGAGGGTTTGGGTTACATGTATGTATATATATAGTATAATATTAGGGTTAAGGTTTAAAACGAAAATAATTAAAATAAATAATTACGGGTATTTAAAAATTAAACTAATTACAGAATAATTATCTACAAATAAAAACGTACATGTTGTGCTAATACAACAGTTGATACGAAATAGTCGAAATATTCACATATTATAAAATTAAACGAGAATAATTAATAATAAAAATATATTTACTTATTTTTAAAATCAAATAATTATGCGATAATTATATACAAAGTAAAACGTACAAGTTATACTAATATGACAGATAATATGTTACAATAGAAATAATATAGCAAATTGTATAAATAAAACGTAAATAATAATATAACGTATTATACAAGATAATACGTAATAAATAGAATAATACACCATATTATTTAAAATAATATGTAATAGTATCAAAAACCTAACGGATAAATTCTATAAATTTTTACTGCATTAAACTAATTTGTAAATATCAAAACTATTTAAATAATTATAAAACTTGAACTTTAAATCATAGAAATTTCTAGAAAATCGAGAAAAATACAAATACTCTTCTAAAAATAATAATTAAGTATTTTAAAATACCAGAAAATTATTTTAATTAGTATCAAAAATTTCATGGTCCTTACAGCGGCGTATTGGGTGCACGTAGAGGATTTGTGAACAGTCAGTTATCCGATGATATGAGTGTTGACTCTATGTGAGATGTGGACCAGTGAGTTGAGATAGGATGACTAGTTACATGACCTCGATTCTTTGCTAAGTATGATTCTTGTGAGATGTAGGCCAGTTGTGTTTCTTTTCATACATAGATCGGTGTTAATATTTAATTATCTACAATTTGAGACATATGGTATATACATGAGGGTTTCCTTGTTTGGATTATTTCGCTCGATGTACTACGTCTCATTTTAAAGATTTTTAGGTATTAATTCCATCTATTGTATGCCCTTGTTACTTGGATGATTAGACTGATCGCTAGCTACATGATCTCGTTACCTGATCGATTTTGGATGCTTTATGTTATCATGATTTAATAGTGTTTTCATGTTGATTTGTGGATTTCAGTTGTACGTTCTTTGTTGTTTCTGTTATTGTATCGTTTTCCGCTTGGGTTTTCGTTCATTCTATTTTCTTTTGTGGGGTCTTGCTGTGCGTCATGTACACTGATGTACACCTGTTTTCTCTGGTGTACGTCAGACTTAGAGGAAGAACAGGTTCAGCTGGAAGATCGCCAGGAGCCGGAGGATTCTTAGCAGGAGTGCCTTGTAGATGGAGCAGAAGATCAAGTTGAAGCTTAATTATTCCTTTCAGTTTATTTTTGTAGCATTTCCTTTTCGCCTGATCATTGTATTTTTATATTCTCTTCAGTATTTCTTTTGTTTAGTCATGTATAAGGGCATGTTTGACCCATATATTATGTCTCGGATGTTATCCTATTTGTGATATGATATTTTTATTCTGAGTTTGTCTATTATATTCTTGCTGATTGTGATCGGGGACCTGTGACTTCGCATTGTATTTATTTCTAGACGCTTAGCGTATTGGATTGAGAAGAAAAAAAAGAGAAAAAAAATGATAGTGTATATTCTTCTCAATCTAATACATCGCGGGCTTGTTCACGTTCTGATTCCCCTAGTATTTTGGAAAGCGGGGTGTGACAAAAACTCCCACACAAACTCTCGCTACGTCGGTGCACTCAACACTCTCATTGTTAGAGTCCGGACATAGTACTCGGAATTTTAGTCTCCTGATCATTAACAATTGTCAAACCCCTTCGTGTTAAGTATTTGTCACTTAACACCAGGGACTCTCTCCGAGTGATTTATACGAATCAACACTCCCATTGTAATTTGTACTCTTACTCTCAAACCCCCATTTGGTCAAACCTTCCTACAGTTAGGACCAAAGTCAAAATCTCCTCTCGAATATTTCCATGAACGAGAGGTTCACTTTCAAATCGAATGATCAAACCTTTCTACAGTTAAGATCACCTCAAACTTCTGCTTGGTCAAACCTTCCTATAGTTAGGGCCAAAACCACAATTCACTCTCAATAAACGAGAAATTCACCTTTAGTTCGATAATCAAACCTTCTACAGTTAGGATTATTCGAATCTTTTCGATTCTCGGAGTGGAGATCCCACTCTTAGTTTCACTCTTCAGATTCTCAAAGTGAAGATCCCACTTTGAGTTTTCTTTGCAACTGGAGATAGAATATAAAATTCTTCCTCTCTAGCATCGGGTTTATCTTTGCCTTAAGAGAAGACACTACTTTTCAACTCCTAAAATCTACGCCTAACACGCGTTGCCGGTTTAGTCTTTCAACGATTAAAAAAGACACCAGAATCCAAGTTTGGGGAATTTTATCCCGAAGCCTAAGTAGGAATAAGTCAACGCCTAACACGCGTTGCCGGTTTAGTCTTTCACCGATTAAAAAAGACACCAGAATCCAAGTTTAGGAAAGTTTATCCCGAAGCCTAAGTAGGGATAAGTCAGCGCCTAACACATGTTGGCGGTTAGTTATTGACCATAAAAAGGACAAAAGTCTACTTATTCAATATTGTGGCAGGTTGTTATTAATAACACTATAATCTGTGCCTTACACGTACGAAGAATTTTATCCCGAATCCTAAGTAGGGATAAGTCAGCGCCTAACACGCGTTGCCGGTTTAGTCTTTCACCGATTAAAAAAGACACCAGAATCTAAGTCTGGGGAAGTTTATCCCGAAACCTAAGTAGGGATAAGTCAGCGCCTAACACGCGTTGCCGGTTAGTCTTTGACTATAAAAAAGACAAAAGCCCACATATTCAACATTGTGGCAGGTTGTTATTAATAACACCATAATCCGTACCTTATACGTACGAGTAATTCTATCCCGAAGCCAAAGTAGGGATAAGTTAGTGCCTAACATGCGTTTCCGGTTAGTCTTTGACCGTAAAAAGGATAAAAGCCCACATATTCAACATTATGGCAGGGGGGTTTTTATAACACCATAATCCGTGCCTTACACGTACAAGGACTTTTATCCCGAAGCCTAAGTAGGGATAAGTCAGCGCCTAACACGCGTTGCCGGTTTAGTCTTTCACCGATTGAAGAAGACACCAGAATCCAAGTCTGGGGACTTTTATCCCGAAGCCTGAATAGGAATAAGTCAGCGCCTAACACGCTTTGCCGGGTAGTCTATTCCCGTGAGAAAGACGAAGTCTACATATTCAATATCGTAGCACTAGGAGAGTTAACTCTCTTAGCACAACGTCACACGCAGAACGGACTTAAACAATTCATATGCAAGCCCGATTCAAAACGGTAATCGGTAAAGGCACGTCAAATCCATTGAAGGCTGAGGATTTGCCAAAAATCCTAAGTCTACGTCTAATACACATTGTCGTTTAGTCTTTTCACTGGAGAAAGATGAAGTCTACATATTCAATATTGCAGCACTAAAAGAGTTAACTCTTTTAGCACAACATTATGTGTGGAATGGATTTGAACAATCTGCATGCTAGCCCGACTCAAACGGTAGTTGGTAAAGGTGAATCAAACCCGTTGATAGCTAAGAATTTGACAAAAATTTTATAAATACGATAGTCATTGATGCACCAGTTCCATTAATTGGTCTCGCGACTCAAGGATTTGACAACTTTAGGATAAGATTCATTCATACAGATGGATCAGCTTTAACAGGTGGTCCTGCAGCCCTAACATTTAGGACCGCCCTGCTTCAATCCCTTAAGAGCTTAAACTGTGTATACTCTAGCAAACGTACAAGTATAAACTGTGTCAACGCTAATCGATGCAAAACCCTAAGGTCAACGCCAGTCAACGTGTAGCCCTAGGTCAACACAAGTCAACACCGATCGATACGAAACCCTAAGGTCAACGCCAGTCAGTGCGTAGCTCTGAGTCAACGCCGGTCAATGCGTAGCTCTGAGTCAACGTCGGTCAACGTGTTGCGACGGAGATAGTCAGTTCAAAGTCAACTCAATGGCACGAGCCAAATGTTAGACCCTAGAGGGGGGTGATTAGGGTCTTATGCTAATCTAATCCGATTAAATGCCAATTAAAACTAATTAACAAGTTATCCTAGCAAGTATGAAATATAACAACTATATAAGCTATTATCCTAGCAAGTATGAAATATAACAACTATATAAGCTAGGATAAACAATATGAACAATGAGATATATCATATATGATGAGATATACAATATGATATATGCAAGGATATGAAAACTAACACAATGGGTAAACAATATGAACTAGATAGTGTATCATATAAATAATGAGACAATGGCGAAATGAGCAATGAGCACAAATAAGAATAAACGCCAAAGCACATTCAAACACACAATATGATCACGGAGTTCGGACCTTCCGTCCTACGTCTCCGCTCCCCACTCCCGGGGAGAAATCCACTAACACAATCCGGTTTGGAAGCCGGAACTTCTTCTACACACTCGGTTTTCTAGCTAACCGAAAACTCTACAACTCACACTC